AGGGTAAAACACTTTGTGGTGAGCTCTTTTCAATGACATATGCCAAGACATGTGAAAAGGTTTGCGCTGCAGCCTCAACGGCATCTGGATCAAGGATGTTCTCCCATACCATGCTGGACAATACATCTATGATGCTACGGTGGTCAGCTTTACGGAAGTCATAAGAAACCGTAGCAGGATAATCGTCGAAATCACGGACGAGTTTGTCCTCAACAGTGACAATTAGAGGGTGATGTGCAACTAGCTTAGTTAGTGCACAAGCAGCCGAGGAAATTAATGGCCTGTGTGCTCACGAAGCAAAGGTCCAAACTACGATCATTTTCGTTAACTGCATGGTTAATTTGAGAAAGCGTCGCTGCGCTGTAGTTGTCGAGAAGGCTAATAGCATAGAGGTAACTCTAAGACTAGAAGGTGGCTCAGCTCTGGTACTCTCTTCGGTCCCAAGCTAATCGATTCACCCCTCGAAACATAGGAAAAACCAATAACCCCTCATTTGATCTGTCAAACTTTCATAGCGAATCAAAACAAACATTGCATAGTACTAAAATTTCGACTATAATGGTACGTTAATCGTTTGCTTGGGACCAATAGGCTAGTCAAGTAGTGAGCCAATTTAAAATCGTTAGTTTCGTATTGATTGTTGCTAATAGCTCCTGCGTGAAATGTAGAGCTATCAGGATCTGGATACTGGAATCCTTTAAGAGATGGACTCCACGAAACGCCTGGCAGATTGAAGTCACCAAAAATGAATATCTCATCAACTGGAGTGGCACTTTCGATAACTGTGAAAACTGACCGACAGTGAGTATCAATGAGTTCATTGTCCGGGTCCGACTCCCTCAGGATTGCACCTGCATCACAATGTTACGCCAATTCACTCGGTCCGTGGCTGCTTGTCTCCAATTTCTTGACCGTCCCACACTTCCAAGATTCTGCTCCACTTGGTCTAACCACCTTGCTCGCTGTGCTCCTCTTCGTTTTGTACCGGCCGGATTCGAGGCAAACACCATTTTTGCGGGATTGTTGTCCGGAATTCTTAAAACATGTCCCGCCCATCGTACCCGTCCAGCTTTCGCAACTTTCTGGATACAGGGTTCGGCATAACGTTGCGTCAGCTCGTGGTTCATCCTTCGCCTCCATACACCATTCTCACATACCCCGCCAAAGATGGTCCTAAGCACTCGTCGTTCGAAAACACTCAGTGCTTGCAAGTCCTCCTCGAGCATCGTCCACGTCTCGTGTCCGTAGATAACTACCGGTCTTATCAGCGTGTTGTACATGGTACATTTAGTACGGAGGTGAAGTTTACCCGACCTCAGGGTCTTGTGGAGTCCGTAGTAAGCACGGCAATAATACCATAGAGGTAACTCTAAGACTAGTAGGTCCCGAAGAAATGTGCTCAACTTTTTGGCTCAGCTCTGGTACTATCTTCGGTCCCAAGCTAATCGATGCACCCCTCGAAACATGGGAAAATCCACGAACCCCTCATTTTGTCTGTCAAACTTTCATAGATAATCAAAACAAACATAGTGTAGTACTAGAATTTTGACTAGAATAGGGTAAGTTAATCGATTTGCTTGGGACCAATAGGCTAGTCAAGTAGTGAGCCAATTTCAAATCGATAGCTTCAGAAGGAAACAGAACATCCAATTTTTCGAGCTTTGCTAGCAGAACGTCGTGCACAACTCTATCAAACGCAGCTTTAAGATCAGTGTAGATGGCATCCACTTGAAGTTTCTTGCATACATTTTCCATACAGAACGACGTAAAGCTGACGAGATTAGTTTCCACGGAGCGGCCAGGAAAGAAACTAGGTTGACATGTACTTATGTCATGCTTGCAGTTGCAGGAAGCAAACAATCTCTCATTTATCAGCGACTCAAACAACTTAGATTCAACCCCAAGCGAGGTAATCCCACGGTAGTTTTCCACATTGCGTTTGTCTCCTTTCTTGAAAACAGGGAACATAGTAGAGCGTTTCCATAGTGCGGGAAATTTCTGTTGACGAAGTGACAGGTTGACGAGCAAGGACAACGGAGCATTTTTTTAGGACAGCAGATGGAATAACAGTCGGACCTGGTGAAAATGATGATTTGGTTTTACTCATCACAGAGAGAACCATTTGTACATCTACGGCAAAAACATCCATGTCTACGACGTCGGTTGGCACATCACGGACGGCTCGCTCAATTTCTGCTTGCGATGGGGAGTCATTCAAGAAGACGCTTAAGAAGTGCCTAGCAAATAGGCTGTATTTGTCCTCCGTTGTCAATGTTACGTCATTGCCGAGAAACATTTTTGACGGCAGTCCAGTTTCCTTCCTCTTCGTATTCACAAACGACCAGAATCCCTTGGGGTGGCATTGCAGATTATGTTGAGTACGAATTACATACCTCTTGTAAAGAAGCTTGTTGTAGTGGCGATAATCATGGCGCTTGGTAAGGGTACATCGTCGATGAGTGAGAGCACGGAGGGCTCTAGATCGCACTCGTTTCAGGTTGCGGAGAGTAGCGTTAGACCAAGGCGGTTTTCTTGGAGGTTGGCACTTCGGTACTGAAGCACAAACACAGTCGCGCAAAAGTCTATTATAGCGAGCGGCTGCTGTATCGATATCAAGGTAATTCAACACGTTCCAGTTGATCCGGGACAAGGAATGCCTCAGCAAACGGAAATCGGTCTTCCGGAAATTGAGCCGAGTGGCAGTCATGGTTTCATCAAAACGAATTTGAGATCCGTTCGCGATAGATGTATCCAAAGCAGGGTGGAAATTGTCAAAAGGAACGATGACATCAGGCGCTTCAGCGACGACACAGTCCAGAAGTGCACTTTCGCTAACAAAAACCAAGTCAAGAAAACGAGACTGGAAATTGGGAACAAGGTTTATCTGGCTCAGTCCATGAAAAACCGTGCCGTCAACAAGCAAGCGGCTGGCAGGAGTAGTTGAAGATGCAATCGGATCTGGAAACGCATAACCCTGGCCTGAGGGTGACCAGCTAAGCCCAGGCTGATTAAAATCACCAAGCAGAAGAAGCACATCCGTTATATCAGCCATGGACGATGCAAATTCTGTAGCATCCAGATGAAGCTGCATTGTGGTGCAATCATGTCGACGTTCAGGGGGAATATACACCGCTCCAATGAGGATGTTCCGCGAAGTGAGGCTGACCTTAACCCAAACCGCTTCAATTGTAGTAAATAGTTCGTTGGAGATTACGCAGGAGGCGAATGCGTTGGAAACAGCGATGAGGACACCACCACCGCGAGTACGAATGCTGTTGGATGAATTACGGTCCAATCTGTAGACAGTAAAAGAGTCACCAAACAGTTGCACTGAATTGATCCTCCCATCGAGCCAAGTTTCCGTGAATACATAAACGTCATATTCCCCGTCAAGCGCAGCCAGATAAACATCGTCCAATTTAGTCATGAGCCACCCTGGTGTTCTGATAGTAGACTCGTAAACCGCTGCGAGCCGTGTCAATTGTAACTTGTCCAGGATCCGAACGAGAGAACGGTGAACTATCAGGCAGCGAAAGATCACCTGGCGTAGAAAGGCTCGAAGTGGTGGCCATAAGCGAAGATGAACTGAAACCAAGTGGCGGATCAACAGTTGACTTCACATGCACGAGTTCATACTTGCCGTAAACGTGTGGTTGGAAGACCCCTACACCAGGCCCGCACACAGGGCCGGGACGGCTGCAGGTCGCTGGCGGGAATAGCTCGACTGTGGCGGGGGGCTCAGGGGCTTCCATGATGCCAACGGCAGTGCGTCCCAGCAAACAAACATAAGTTGATTCATCATAATGGTGTAAGTCGTCAATCTTCGGCAGGACTATTATTATTATTATTTAACTTTATTAAGGAGGCTTTCAGCCTTGAGCTGGTTCGCCTCCAACTTCGGCAGGACTAGATCAGAGGACATCATTAGTAGAAACATTCAATTTAAATGCTCAAATCCGTTCAAAAAAGAGCGAGAGTAAGCGCGGTTTGTACTTAGTGGGACGAAAACCCTATCAAAGAAGTTCAGAAAACCTTGAGTAAATGCAGGAAATTTGTATGGGGAAAGTAGTCAGACGCGTTACGTACTTTTAAAACAATGCTCCTTTAACACATTTCACTTCATCCAGTACCCAAAAGAAAAGGTTTAATTCCTTTTTATGGCTATTCATTCTGTTTAGTTTCTTCTTTTTCCACAGGCACATACATTTATCGGTTTATTATTATTTTTTTTATAATAAATTTAAACTTCAATATTTGTTTAGCTTTCTATTCTGCTTTCCATATAGTTTAATTTCTTCTCTCTCTCTCTCTCTATCTGTTGTCTCTTGTTATAAGTTTATTTTTTTGGTTTCAATACTTTCCCTTTCCCTTACATTAATATGAATAAAATGAGATACAAATGCGCGCGTGTTTACCAGTTCTCCGTCCAACTGCTTCCTATGTCATTGTATTTCAAAAATGGTTAAAATTTCACATATTCGCTTGCAATTGGTTACAGAAGGAAAATATAATTTCTGTCATTAGGTTGAATTTTGATTCATTTCTCTTCTATCGCAAATACAAATCTTTCGTTTTTGTAATAAAATAGTTTTGAGCTTCAGCAATAAAATCAACCGTATTCGTCGTATGCTTTCCTGCTTCTACTATAAGTATAAACTTACTAGATACTTACTACAGCACACGCAAATTGCACATCTTGATGCGATCAGTCCTCGTACCTCTTCCTTTTCCTCCTTCCTTCTTTTGCGATTTGCATTAATTACTCTTAATGGCTAACAACTAGGTATATAAATACGGTGAGAGTTTGTTTGTGTATTCCCTTCATTTTGTTTGTGTTGGTTGTGTGAGGGGGTGAAGAGAATGGCCTTTTTTGATTATACTCGACTCTTAAATAGTTTCGTTTAATATTAATTCTGGGTTGAAAATGTTAGTTACACGAGAGCGATACAGAGAAAAGTTGTAAGTTCGTTTTGATGTTGTTGTTTTTGTTTTGTTTAGCACAGAAAAAAACACGGAAACGACAGATTTTTCCTTAGCTTTGTTTCGTAACGTTCTAATAGTAGGTTTAATAAATAGTAGATTTGTGAGTGTGTTTCGATAGCTATCTTAAGAATAAGTTGTTGAGCTCGTGCAAATAAATTAGTTTGGGATAAATAAATAGAATGGGAAACTCTTGCTAACAGTACGTATAATTTGGAAAAAGAAATCTAGGAAGGTGTATTTACAATTGACTAATAATAGTCCTCGTCCATGCACGGGGAACAAATCAACATACAAACTTAGGAGAACGGACGAAACAAATTCAACGAAAAAGACACATAAAAACTAGAAATGAAGGGCATACGAATAAATAAAAAATCTCTTTAGCACACACTCGGCTAAACCTACAAACTAGTGACTTACACAACTATACAATTGAGTTTTGCGATTCGATGCTAATGGCCACAGTAGAAGGAGGCAAACGGGGACGACGGCGATTCCGCTTCCCCGCTGGCCCCGGTACTGCTGTTGTTGGATGGCGACGAGGACGACGACGGGGCCAGGTACCAGGTTGCAGTTTGCGCTGGCTCCGTCGCCGGTATCGTTGTCGTTGAATGTCTGAACCCCTCCCGGTGGCACTGCGATAGCAATGCAGCGTTCTGGTGCTGGTGGTAGCCATCGACAACACCAGTGGTGGAGAAAATTGACTAACTGCGCATGCGCTTCGCACTCGGTTCCATTTTGACGTTGACCACTTCGAAGTCGGACGTGTACAACATGCTGCTCATATCATCCGGATGCGTTTGCTGGGAATGCTGCTGTTGCTGTTGCTGCTGCTGCTGCTGCTGTTGTTGGTGTTGCGAATGCAGCTGTTGGCGACCGTAGTCTTTCTAAAATGAAACAAGTCACCGTAATGCCTCAAATATCTACAGAGGGATTATTTGCTGAAAAAGCACACAAACGATAAAACATAAATCAAAACCGAAACTTCAAAACGCGCCCTCACAAAAGCAGCCAGCATTAACCAGAACTAATCAATCCAAGGTATTTAGACTCACCTCGCCCATGACGGCAATCGGCGTGGTTTGCGTCGCCTCTGCCACCTTGTGTTCGATAATGAAGAACATGTACTCGTCGTACAGCAGTCGTATCAGGTGGAAACTTCCGAAACTACCCGCCGAGCGGAGCGTCAAATCCCGAATCACCATTGAGCTATAGAAGCTCCACTTTAGCAGAAATTGTCTGGCAGCGCTCACAAACGACGGTTTACCACGATACTCTTCCAAGGCGTCATCAACCACCGCCCGCAACCAGCTGGCCCACTGTTCCAAGGTATTCTGCTGCTGGAGAGCAGCCTTGAAGTCATTCTCCAATCGCTGCACTGTAGCCGTATCGCATTGACAAATCCAGGAGGCCTGCTCCTGCACGTTCCGGAAATCGACCCGGTTGAGATCGTTGAGCATCTGAGCGATCTGGGTGCTGTTCTGCAGCACTGCCCTAGCAGCCTGAGCCAGATGATTCAGGGACGTATAGCGCCGCAATGTCTGCCCAAAAGCGGCCACCGCCGATAGCTTGATGGCTACGATTGGCTCCGGGCAACCGCTCATCGCAGACGAGAGCCAGCTCTCGAGATTTTTGGCAAAGTTACGAATCGCTTGGGTCAGTCCGGTTGGGATCGGACGCAGCACATCCGGAATCAGAACCTCAACCATGTTTTGGTAGAACATAAAGTCGACCTTTAAACAGAAAAAAAAACCCGTTTAAATTATCCGGCAAAACCCTTTCAACCAAACTGCCACTCACCTGTTTGATAAAGTCCTGAACCGGTTCACATTGGGTCAGCACGTACAGCTTGGTTTTACTGAGGTACTTCTCCTCCTCGCACTCATCCGCATTGTTGTTGTTGTTCTCGGCTCGCCAAAATTCGCGCCAAAGTGACTCGATCGTGTTGAAATCCAGACTCAATATGGCATCCAGGAAGGCTTCGCAATGCTCGCGGTAGATCGACTGCAGCGTATCGACATCTTCTAAACTAATATCCTCGGGAAGCGGGTGATTCAGGCTGATCACCGGGAACTGTGCAATGGCACCTGACGCATCTCCCAAATACTGCAGAACAAATTGAAGCATAAGTCTTGGACTCACCTTGATAGATCACACAAACTTGTTTACCTGAGTACACGATTCCGGGATTTCATTCTTCATCAAGCCCTTCTTCGATCCACGGTGGTTTATCGATCCACCGTGACCCATCCCTCCGACTCCACCACCACCCCCGTGACCAGCGCCACCCATCGTGTTCTGATTATGACTGTGACTATTGTTGTTGTTGTTGTTCAGATGACTAGCATTCATTGGCTTACTATCGTCCATGGCGTTGTTCAGAGCTGATCCCGGTTTGATCCGTATCCCGTAGTAGTGGTACTTACTGTTACCCCGCGTTCCCAACCGTCGAGTTCGCAGTCCGGTGAAAACCGATCGGATCAGTTTCCCAAAGCTGGCAGCATTCACCGCGTCCAGTTTGTGTTCGTTGCAATGGCGCATGTAGTGGTTGTACAGCGTGGACCGTGGCAAACTGACACCCTCGGCGTTTTCGTAGTTCTCGACCAGCCAAGCGACCTGTTGAGCAAAGAGAGGCAGTTTGGCAAAATCAACAGGTTGTTGTTGGTCGGTCTATTGCTCTGGGTTACGCGAGCGATTTCCGTTATGCAGAGGGATAGGGCAACAACAACGACAGGTGGACGCCAGAGGGACGCCGCCGTCCGTATCTAGCGCACATAACCAAGGTTACCGTCTTTCGGTGCGTTCAAGTCACCCGTGCGCGGTTAGGGTGTCACCGTAGCAACCGGAAAAGGCATCATGGAAGCGGGGCGTCTGATGGTGATGCATTTTTTTTCTACGACGATGCACGGTCATGAACTAACTGATCGCGCATTTTGTAAACATTCATTGTAGGGGATTGTGATATTTTATAAGCTTGTGTTTTTCTCATACACTTTAGTTAATAATATTTATAATTTTCAAGCTCAATTCAAAATATCCACATTACGCATTATTTTGGAATTTTTGGAAAATGCGCGAAATTAATACTCATGCAATGTTCGCACTACGAATTTATAGCATGTTACTAACTAGAGGGGGTCTAGTGTTATAGTCGCTATATTTATAGTCTGGCGGGTAGAATCTCGGGAACCAATTGAGCTGTCAAATAGCGGAACCAGTCGAGCATATCACGACCCACAACAGAAAAGAGCACATCAGCTATTGCGAACAAAATTTCGAAAACCGTTTTCTCGTGACACAAGGCTCGCCTACACAAACTAACACAATATTTAGGTTATTGAAAGTTTCTCCTATCCGATGATGTTGGTAATTAACCTTCGATTGGCGAGGAAAGAATAATCAACGTTTTGTTTATAAAAGTTAATAGTACCTTTTCAATTGTTGGTCTACAATATATTGAATTGGTTCCGTTTTTTGATAGATCGAAATTCTATCCGCCAGACTATGAATATAGTGACTATAGAGCGGACTGGCTGGTTTTGAGACAAACGACCAGTCAAAGCCAGAGTCAATTGAGCAGCGCCTATCTCGATTGTATTGGCAGTGTTGCCTTAAATCACTTAGACATAGGTTGCCAAGGCAGTTTGTTTTGAATCCGCTCCTCTCTTATATTGACCCTCTCTATTACTAACCTATTTCGATGACATTTTTCCTGTCAATGTTACAACTCTGTAGTCCGAACATTGCATTTTAGGTGTGCGAAATAATAGCACTTTACGGTACGACGTCGTCAGTTTGAAAATGTTTTAATGTTTTAATGTTTTCCAACCCTGAACAGCACGGCGTGCTGACTTGCATGTTCAATGTTCATGTTTTCAAAAACATTCTACATCTGCCCATTCTAGTAAGAAAAATTATGATCAATGTCGAGAAGTGTTTCTGTGCAGAATTGAAACTTATGATTACTGAGTGATTTATGCTTTAAATTTCTCTGCAAAGTTTGTTTCAGTGTAAAATGTTGCATCCATTTTCAAACCAAACATTTTCCCGAACATGATTGATTCGACGACTCTTGCTGCGAAGGGACGCTTGTGGATTTCGATGGAGAGTTACCACCAGCGTTGCCAGTATTCCAGATTTATCTGGATTTTCCAGATTTTTAGTCGTCTTGCCAGATACACAGACAGACCACGTATGTTTCCAGATTTATTAAATATGTTCCAGATTTTCCCAGACTTTTTAAACATGTTGCTTTAAAAATATCACTGCAATTGATCTACCCTCTAATAAAAAAAATCCAAACTTGCTACTTTAATTATTAAAGGCCATCAACGTTGGACATTATTGGAATTTTAAGGTAATTCTGCAAATAGTTCACAGTGAAGTGTGAGGCGAATTCCTTGTGTAATCAAAGGAGAACTTCAAGCTAATTCTGAGTAGAGTTCCATCCATCTTTTTGGCCTTCGTGGTCGTGCAGCGTCACCCGTCGTTCAGGCGTATTGTGTGTGCCACGAAGTAAGGATTCGATTCGCGCTCCAGCCGGTGCAAAATTTGACAACCTGAAAATTTCCCTACTGATCTACTGGGTGTGATGCGTTGTCCGTTGTTTAGTGTTAAATACTCAGTCTGTACAACCTTTGGTTGAAGGCGGTTTCAATTGGCTTCTCAGCTCTGTTGACAATTGCATGGAGATTTTGTGAATATAGGAAATACAATCCGGAAGAGAAATCATAGAAAATTCTTAAGATGAAACTTGAGGAGTAGGGTAGATCAATGATAGGTTTGTTCCGATGCGTTAGTTCATTAGCTACAACATAAACCCTGTTAGAGCGCATTGTATGAATATTTACGCTCATTGTTCTCAAAATAAAAGAAGCGCTCCTAGCTAATCCAATTTTCCTACGTTTATCCGTCGGATGAAGAAAATCTAAATGCGTTTCAATGCGTTAGGACGGAATTGAAACTCGTAGAACGAATTTAGAATCAAGAAGCAGTATTAGATTTTAAACAATATCTCAACAATTTGTGATTCTTTATCAAATCCAACGGTACGTATGGAAAGGTGAATAAATTTAAAAGACATTTTTGACAGAAATATTCCATTTTTTGTTTAAACTCGTTCGGAAAAGAGAGGTAAAGCGCGGGTTGTGCTTAGTAGGACGGAAATTAGATTAAAAAGCCTATGCTGATACGAATCGTAGGAATAATTTCAATGAATTTTATGTCCAATGTTTCTATGAATATTAATTTCAAAAATATTTTAAGACATTTTAACGGAATTATGCGCAATTTTTGGGAGACTTTCAAGGCCATTTTGGCAAAGTACATGAGTACTTAGGAAATACTGAAGAGTATTTCAAAATAATTCTGACCTTACCTACAAAGCAGTTCAAAGGGAATTATCGGATAGGTCTGAGAAGAGTGTGACGGTCATTCTGAAGAGTGCATCAAGGAAATTATTAAGAATATTTTAAGAATTTCATAAGGAAAACTGGACACAGGGAGTCCAGGGAATTGTGGAATTGTAGAGTAATGTATAAGAGATTAAAAAAGGTAATGCTATGCATTCTGCTATGAATGTTACTGAAAAAGATTATTTTAGGGGAATCCAGAAAATAAGTATGATTAAATTTTAGGATCATTCAAATGGAGTTCAAACAAAAGGGCGAAGATATCCTGTGAAGAGTTCCAAGTAAATTCAGACTAACAAAAATTTTCATGATCTGGGACCCAGAAAAAATAGAAATTCCGGAATTTATGATCATTTCAAGATCCTGAGACTTCAAAAATGACGCTATCAGACTTTCATTTTAGTAATATAATAAAATTATTCTTTGGCATAACATTATTCGTAATGTTTATGCGCGAATGGCACAGTTACCTGTAGGTTAGGTAAACTTCAGCCAGGTGAATTGTTACGATGTAAACAAATTCTGCTTATTTCTTGCACTTGTTCAGTTAAATTAACAAACCAGAGAAACATTAGCTTTAAGTGCCGAAGAATTAGTACAATTTTGTCATCAGTACGCTCGTACGCACGCATCGACCAACCGTCAAGTCAAAATACTCCACTGCAAAAGGCCTTTTGCAAGGCGACGCTGCAAACGAACGCAACGAGAGAGCGAAAAGATTGCACTCACACGGACGCATCAAACAGACAAAAGCGAGCAAGGGCAGCAGCGTGATCGGATGCTTTTGCTTCGTCATTCTTATTCTCCAGTGTACGGTGGATTCACGCGCTTGGTGTGCTTTGTGAAAAGTGACGGGAAGTTGACCGTCAGCCATACTCGTAGAAGAGCTAGTCTGGCGTTTTGGATTTCGGCTTACGGGGAAGCAACACGTTCCGTAGGAACGAGCGAAAGAACCGTCAAGGGACTAGGCCAAACGTTGGAAATCACACGACACAGTCAACCTTGCTTTTAAGAGCAGTTCGGCCAGAGGAAAAACGACCGGTGACTCGGATTGCAACGTGGGTGGTGGCAACCCGTTCCACAGAGGCAAGCGGAAGTACCGTCACCGGACGAAGTCAAACGATCGGCGTTCTACCAACCGCACTTGGAGGAATTGTACGACAGCCGAACACGCCAAGAACGGACTCGAAGCGCACACGTGTAGGAGCAGTACGATCCGAAGGCACCAAAGCATCGTCACTGGACGAAATCATACGACCGACATTACCCGTGTTAGATCGCCGGCTAGCAGCCTTGCTTGGTGGTCACAACCATAAAGGCTACACGGACACAAAGAAGACCCCATCAAAGGGTAAGCATCATCGATCTGGACGGCCAGTTGTCAGGAACTAATCAGCTGTTCCATCGCAGGGTCTTATTGCAGCAATCTCAGGTAGAAACGAGTTTCAAGGGCCCGCAGACGTCGTCGGCCAACATCGCCGAAGCAGGAAGTCAACTGCTCGCCAAGGCGGTGATTGACGGAAGCAGAGTGCTCATTGGGTTCCATAGGCAAGCGCCAACTTCGCGTGGCCGCACGGACGGCGTAGCCAGGAAGCACTCACGTGCGGCAGGAAGACTTGGCCGGTGCCAGTAGGAGCAGGCCGACAAGTGAACGAGCGTCAACGGGATGCTTGATCGGGCGACATTCTTGGTCGGTCGATGACGTAGCCGAAACAACGACGAGTCATGGGTCCGTGTGCGTGAGTAGACGTATTTAGCCATTAAGCAAACCCAAAATCTGTTAGTCGCATAAGCACAAGGGAACCAGATAGGAGAATGATTTAGACTCTGGGATGCCCGTGTGGGAAGGCATGATGAGAATATAGCAATGATTCGCAAGTAAATTGAATGGTTTAGTTTGTTTCTTTGGTTGGAGCTTAGCCCTCCAGTGATTGTCACTTTCGCCAATGGTAGTCCGCTCTTCTGGCTAGCAGGATGAATGCAACAGAATTTGGCTAGAAAATAAAATTGCCTGTTGGGTATTGTGTGTTGTATTGAATTAAATTGTGAATCTGATCAACCTCAGGGTAATATAAGAATTATTTAGAATTAATAAAATCTTTATATTCTGGTACTGCATCAAATCGTAAGGACTACATCGACTTTAAAAAAATCCATCCCATCAAATTTGCTTAATTCTCTGCTTCTCATTCTTTTAAAAAAAAA